AGGGGTAGCTAGGGAGGCAGCAACAAGGGCCGTGGCGAAGTTACTTTCCGCAACAGCCGCAGCCGCTACCCGTGCACCTCGATCCTCATCGTGATCTCTCTCAGCGTCCCCTACACGTCGAGGAGGCTAGCAAAAGTTGGTCATCTTATAGCTACGCGCCTATCAAAATCAGTTTTAATTCTCGCAACTGCTTGCCCACCGTCGATGCTGCCATCTGGACAGTTTCATTGCGCGCTGGCCGCTTAGCACGACTCAGCTCCGCCGCAGCTGAAGTTAAGGTGACGATGAGCTCCTCTGGGGTCACAGAACGTGCTAGGAGCCACATATTACTATCCCGAATCCGCAATGCACCGCCTGGTTCATAACATTCGAGTTAGCGCCTGATTACAGAACTTACCACATCATAAGACTGACCTTTACATGTACCTTCCCCGGAGTCCGAAGCGCGGAGGCCGGGCATCAAGGACGAAAACAACCATAGGGCTAGAGCGCCCCATAGAAGTGCTTATTTATTCTTTCTGGCCGCCGGCCGTAGTATGTCATAGAGGTCCTCCGTCGACCGCGCGCGCACGGGTCGACTATCGGACGGAAATCGTGCCAAAATTGTTGAATTATGCCCCCGGCCAAGCCGACCAATCGGGATTGCGCGCTAATCGTATCGATTGAGGGATTTCAAGGGTGTGGGGTCGCCGGTTCGGGTCGGAAGTCGTATTTAAATGTTCAACAAAACGCTTACTTGAAGGGAAGTATCACCTCAGCGTTTTCAGATTTTTTTTGTCCTTGCCGGGCATTGCTCGTGCGCGCCTAAGAAGAGGATACCACATCCGCGTATCCTCGTACCGTGGCAAAAGATACAAGTGAGCAACTAAGCCGGCATATATCCACTGCACTATGAACCTCAAGCTAATAAGAGAAGTATACCTTGAAGGGACATTTCCCGCTACAGGCCCCCAAACTTGATTCATACCGTCCTCGGTATAGCAGAGCTTAACGAACCAATGGTTTAGATACCTTGAGTGCAACTAGGGACAATTCCCGCTACGCCGCTCTGGTGGGGCTTCGGTGGGGCACTGGAACTAGATCGCTTCGCTGGGCGCTGCTGGGCGTCGCGCCGACGTGCCGAGTGTTCAGTGCACTCCCGGGTCGACCTACGAGGCGCGGGAGCACGTGCTGCGCCTACCGCTCGCGGCGTCTGCGCTGGCATACACGCGACCGCGTTTTGCCCGCGCGGGAGGAAAACCGAGACTTTGCGAGGTCGTAGCTTCGCGAGATCGAGGTCGATTTACGCGAACCCAGACTCTCTAAGTATCAGTTACAAGTCGGCTATCCATCGCAAGTAACCGCAAGGTCGAACTCGACGGTCCACCGCCGGTCGACTTTCACTGTCCGCCCCTAGTACTAGTATAAGTAAGACTAAGTCTTGTCGCCGCCTTTCGCAATCATGTAGTAAGATCAAACGCCGCGCCCTCGCCACCTCACGACCAATAGACGGCGACGCTGGCAAAATATGGTTCGCCGAATACTTGCGCAAAAAATTGACATGGTGGCGCGAAACCTCTTAAAAAGGTTCGCTTCCGATGTTGGCGGTTATGAGCGGCGTAGCAGGACGAAGACTACAGCCATGAGCTTATTGCGTATGAAGCGACTGGGCGAAAAGATTTGCATGGTTACATGTTATGACTACCCGAGTGGTGTGCACGTCGATGGGGCCAACGTCGACGTCGCACTTTGCGGCGACTCTTTGGGAATGGTTGCGCTCGGATATGAAACGACTCAGCCGGTCACCCTCGATGAAATGATCCACCACTGCAAGGCTGTACGGCGTGGTCTCTCGAATGATGGTCCACTTCTTGTATGTGACCTACCATTCGGTAGCTACGAGGAGTCACCGGTGATTGCACTCCGTTCTGCGTACCGCGCGATGAAGGAAGGGTACTCGTAACCTGTGTTTAGTTTCTATGTTACTGTTGCGCGAGCTGAGGTTAACACCACGCAGGGGTGCAGACTGCGTCAAAGTAGAAGGCGGCGCACACATGGCACGGACCGTTGCCAAGCTTGTAGAGAGTGGTGTCGCAGTCATGGGCCACGTCGGACTTATGCCGCAAGCTATTAGCACGCTCGGTGGCTTCCGTGCCCAGGGGCGTACCGCGATCAAGGCACGACGGGTGCTGGATGATGCACTAGCACTTCAAGATGCTGGTGCCTTCGCAGTCGTCGTCGAGTGCGTCCCTGCGATCGTCGGTGCTGCGATCGCCGACGCGCTTGACGTGCCGACGATTGGCATTGGCGCAGGGCCAGGGACCGATGGTCAGGTTTTGGTTTATCATGACCTCCTTGGCTCACTCCATC